CAATAGTAAGCCCAAGGTTCATCGCATTATCTACGAATGGTAGCTGAGATGTATTGTGTTAGAACAGTGGTGGCTCCACCCCTGGGCTCCCACTGTAGCATACACTCGTAGATTTGCTGATCATTTGGGTTTCTGTGAAAAGCTGGAAAATGTAGTGTAAGTATACCAAGAAAAAGAGAAAAATGGATTTGTTCAAAGGGAGGGGCTACCACATATATTTAAACATTATGCAAATAAACTGCCTTTATTCTACATTGATACAAAGATTTTTTTAACATGCAAAATTTTTCAAATTATATTTTAGGATAGAATGAAAATGCAAATAACTTAAATTAGAACATTTATTGCTATAATACATACTTTGATTTAGATAGAACAAATGGAAAACTTCATGGAAGCAATGTTTGAATATTTCAGAAATATAATTCAGAAATATTTTACTTTTATGTTTCTAAGTGAATGGCAGAGTTGTATTGGTGGGGGGGGGGGACTTCAGCAGGAAATTACAGGCCAAGAACAGTGACACATGGATGAGAGGCTCAGACACTGAATTGCTTAATTCCAGGGGCATGGCCGCATATGTACCAGGTGCTAAGATTGGTGACACTGGTGTTGCCAACTCTGCTGTTTCTGTCAGGTGCCAAGGGGTCAGCTGGCACTTAGAGAATGAATGAATGAACCAATGAATAAACCCAGTGCTGCCCAGCCCCATGCCACCGTCATGATTGGGGCTGAGTTCGTGGCTGCAGTGACTTTGTACAGATGACTACTGTCATGGTACAGTGTCTTGTGACCTGCCACTGAATTTCATCATCGCAGGTGCTAAGGCATTTTCTTGGCTGCACTGTTTAAATGGAGAGATGGAATTTTAAGAGGGTTTTTTTAAGACTTAAGATTTCTATCCTTAGGTTTCTCACTTTTAAGCCTTGAAAAAAAAACTCATTCAATTTGTATATAAGCCTGATAAATGCAAGAGTCTGAATGAGAAATTTGTAGAATGAGTTGATTTCTGCTGTAGAGAATAGCGGATGCAATCATGAAATTATCCAGAAGGGGGCACCCTTGTGTTCCATTGTGCGCGGCTGCGGAGTTCTGAAGGCTTCTTTTAAGGATATAAAAAGCAAATGGCAAACGTTTGATGCTTCTCTTATCCTCCACTTCTTATAAAATAACAGATATTTAGAGGTGGCCCCTCCAAAACTTCTGTTTACAGTTCGGAGGAGTCTGCCCTCAGATCCACAAACAACTCTCAGATGTCAGAAACCCTCTCATCATTGATTCGGACTCCTGGCGACCCGGGGTGTGTCGGAGGAGAACTGAACTCATAGGGTTTTCAGTGTTTGGATTTTCAAAGTAGATCACGAGGCCACCCTCACCAGTTGCCTCTCAATAGATTCAAACCTCCAGCCTGAGCTTAGCAGTCACACA